CACACTTAAGTTTACTAAGAACTAATAAAATGTCTAAAAAGTTACATTAAAAACATCTTGCCCTATTTTCTTGAAAATTTAAATAGCACTAACATTTGAATTGTACTCATATAATAAAATTAAAAGGAATAATTTAAATTGGTTCGCAATTGGTGATGATATCACGTTACAATATGATATATGAATTGAATTTATTAAAATTTTGGGATTATCAATATCAATATCCCAAATCAGGAAGTTGAACACAAGATGATAAGAAAATATTTTAACTTATTTTCTCTCACATTTGTTCGTTCACAAAAAAAAACTCAATTTAGTGACTTTTTTATTTCTTGTAATCAATTTATCATTACAGCCTTGTACAAGTCCACCTCTGATCCTAATGGTCCCGAAATACCTGCATCTATCAACTTTCTGCATGTTTCATCAGTTCACCACTTTTGCTTTGAATTCATACCTATTAATATGATGAGAAGATGAAGTATATATTTATTTTGTTTTAAAGTATTTTTTTAAATCCTGATGTCCATCCTTGTCAAAAAATTTGATCACTTTAATTCATGAGAAGAGTTTCTAATGTATAAAACTCACATTTTGTTCTAGTTAAACTAATAAACTTCCCAATGTTAAATAGTGAAGTTGTTTATTTTTTTCATACTTCATCATTTAAAGATTTTTCTAAAAATATCCTTAGATTACAGATTTTCTTTTTCTTTCCTGGCCTGTAAAGTTCCACTGTTTGCCATATTCCTCTCCCAATAAAGTAAATTTTAAACAGATTTGAAAAAATAATTATAACAAAAAATGTAATATATCTTAGGCATTTTATGTGATGTAATTAATGTTTTAATTTTTTTTTAATATTTTTTTTATAGAAGAGGGGGCAAATGAGCATGCGGCTCACCTGATGTTAAGTGACTACTGCCGCCCATGATCAACTTTAGAAAGGAGTAAGCTCTTTTCTTGGAGGTCCCCAGGTCGTATAGGTCTGGAAAAATCGCTGGTGGTAAACTATTCCACAGAGAGGTTGTACACTGAAGAAAACTCCTTTTGAAACGTACAGTGGTGGACCGCCAAGCATCCAGATGGTGTGGAGTGTATCAGGACGTTTGCCGCGTAGTGCGTTCACAAAATTTGGCGGCTGGGATTAATCCGAACAATTCCTCAGAGCACTCTCCATGGTATATGCGAAAGAAAATGCAGAGATGCAACATCTCTTCGCAGTGCCAATGAATCGAGCCATTTGGAAATCACTCGGTTGTCGACGATTCGAGCCGCTCTGCGCTGGATACGGTCAAGTGGAAGGAGCTGGTACTGGGGAGCCCCAGCCCAGAGATGGGAACAGTGTTCCATGTGCGGCCGAACCTGCGCCTTGTAAAGTTGCAGGCGGTGTGCCTGCATGAAATTCTGTCCCGCTCTGCTGAGCACACCAAGCTTTTTAGATGCCAATTTGGCCAATTTGGCCTTCTCTTCCAAGTGACCACGAAACTGTACGTCACTCGATATGTCGACGCCGAGGATTCCGATACTGGCTGAGGCAACAAGGGGAGTGCCTTGAAACTGAGGAGATACGACAAAGGGGTTCTTTTAATAAAAACTATTATCAAATTTATTGTAAACTTACCTGGGAGATATATTCTGTTAGAAACAATAGAAAAGTTCATAAACCCAGAATGTTACTGCAGTCTTTTTTATCTACTTCTGAAGCTTATGATACTGAAGATGAAGATAATTAAAATGATGCCTCCTAAACATTCATAATTACATAGAAATCTGCAGAAATATACATAATTTTTTTTTAAATGTTATGTTTCAAACCTTGACCCTCGCAGTCAGATTTTCTTCGGTATTTGGAGGCAGTTTACATACATAAATTGCACTATGTCACTCATGCACACTTGGAACAGTTATTTGTAGGCTTCCTCTGTGTGATATACAAATCTGCAAACCTTCAGCATCATATTATCCACTCTGCTATGGAGTGAAACAAAGAAAAAACCGTATGTATATATCGAAAAAGCATAACTCTCCTAAACAGTGAAGTAGTAAGTATATAATTTTTTTGTACTTAGTTTCCAACACTAACATTTGGCAATTTTGTAGATACTTTTACTGAAAAATTTTTCTTCATTACAATTGATTTTTCAATATTCGTAAATAGTGTTATTAACCATAGCATTTTGTTTACATTATGTTTGTGGGTAAGTAATCTTGACATATCTGAATTTATTAATTCTAAATGTCTTTAGTCATGAAATTTTTTAATAAATATGATCTATTCAATGAAAAGAGAATATAAAAATAAGTTCTTTTTAAAGACAAAATATGCTTCTTTAATAAAGGAATAATTAAATAGCTTGTATAGGTTATACTGAATTATATTTAAGTTATAATAAATTACTATTTATTGTAAGCAATTCAGTATAACTTATTTAGATAGCCCCTCGTCTGTCTAAACGCCATATTCTGGCGTCTCAAATAATATGCGCATCTGTCAAACGCCATAATATGGCGTCAAGTGATAGCAAACTATTTGTAACATATATATGATATATATAACATATATATACATATATATCTGTTATGCATAATCTGATAGCTTATTTAATAATGTTTCCATTGATAAATGATTTTAATATACTTATTTAGTATATATATTAATACTTATATACTTGTTATATACTTACTTAGTACTTTGGAAAGTGCTCGACAGATGCGTCATATTGGCCAAAATGACCCCGACATTCGAGTGGATAGCATATATTCTGGGTTTATGTACATATATAATCATCAATTAAATATATATTATATATCATGCAATATTTCTGGTTTTTCATGTTTGCAATTGATGTGTTTTATTAGTTTTATTTTATTTATAAATGTTTTGCAACTCTAAAAATTTTTACAATAACTCTAGTTGAATCTGCACCAACACTAGTGAAAATCAAAATAGTAATTTTTATGTATTGATTTACCTTGCGCTCAAATTATGAAGTAAGCACTTAAGAAACCTATGTGACCAATAAATTAAAACATTTTAAAGACAAGGAACATAATTTAGGGAAGCACAGTAAACTCTTGTTTGCTCCAAAACATTAAGAAATGAGAGGAGGAAAGTCTGGAGTCTCCTTCATCTTTATCATTACCTTCCTTCACAAGTCCACTGCTAAACATGGGCATTCCTCCCAGATAATGCCACAAAGTAGTGAGCAACCCGTAATTCATTGACTTTTTGCATTTCTTACCAGGTTGTCACACCATCTATTAGGGAACCACCCTACACAACTCCTATGTGTATGTTGGGCCTATTGTCACTTCTCTTGGTTACTTGGTTGCTACAGTTCTATTGTGGATATCCTCATTCCAAAGTCTACTATGCAGACACACTTTGAACATAGCCCTCTCTATAGTTCGCCGACTTTGAGTTTCCTCTAACAGCTAGCAGTGAAAGATCACATCTCAAAATCATATTTCTTCACTGGTAACAGGCACTCTAATGTCCCGAAAGCTGCCCAGCAGAAGAGATTAAACTGTTGTTCGAAGTTTGGGCCTATTGAGGTCGTCCAGCGATTTCTGCCATAATTACTCCCTCAGCAAATCAAAGGTGAGTGTTGTACTCGCCATTGATGTTGATACCGTATCCTTTCCAGTCCAGTAGCATGAAAACGTCTTTCTATGCAGTGTTGAAGCATTTTGAATAAATACCGTCACCCTGCCTTACCCGTCTCTGCAGTTTGTACTCTTGTCAGTCTCCTTGATGCCTTAAGGCCCGGTTTACATTTTGAGAAGTGACAAGTGCGAGTGGCAAGTGAGAAGTGACAATTGCGTATTTTACTTATCACTTGTCGCTGCCTGTTCACACGCACTAAGCACTTGTCATTTGTCAATTGCACTTGCCATTCGCACTTGTTCCTTCTCAAAATGTAAACCGGGCCTTACCCTTTTTAGTATTGTTGAAAGTTTCTTTGTAATTCTGACACCTTATCATATACTGTTTTCTATTTCCTAGTGATTATCCTTTCGCCTATTGTATACAATTAAATTATGTTTAGCCGTGACTAGAAAATAAAATTCCGGGTGTAAACAATAGGGACATTTTCTTGTGTATATTTTTTAACACATATGGCTTTAGATAGACTATGGAAACGCACGTGCAATATATTATTTCACCAACTATTATTTAATATTAAATGGACTTACATAATTGCTATTATTGAAAATAGGCTAAATAAACAACCGATTTTTTTTTAATTTGCTGTAAAGAATTTTTGTTTTGTAATTTTTATTTTATTTATAGTTTTCGTTTTTCCCTGTTCTTCAGTCTTAAATATGATGACTGATCTCAATAAAAAAACAATTGAAATCATGGAATATCGTTTAAGTGTAAATGGAGTAAAACTATATTAAATTCAAATTGTTCAGCTTATCAGGCCTAATACTGCGTAATATTATTTTTAAATACGAAGTATCTGGATAGAATTTAATTGTAGGTAAAATAATTTTATTCCATATTCAAAAGTAAGTTTTTATATATTACGTGACGATGTTCTTTAACCCTTTTTAAGGCAAAGGGAATATATTTACCACCAGCGTTTTCTACTATTTCTCCCAAATTCGTTTTTAGTAGAGAAATTTCTTTTTCGTCTAGCAATACTAAAATATATCGTCAACCTATCCGAAGAAAAAAAATTTTTGACAGACAGGGTGTCATGGCGTTATTCATCAGCTGCTTGTCTAGAGAACGTGTTTTTTAGGTTATAGAAATTCGCATCTGTAGAAATCCCACTTTTTGCTTATTGTTAAGGGGTAAGTAAAAATTATGTGTTTCGAAATATATTATTCTTTATGTATTTGCTAATATTTATGAAATTGTATTTATATTTTTTGCTCACTAACGGTTTTTCTTGGTGGGAAATATATTCCCTGTACCCTGCGCCGTTACTGAGTTTTGATAATGCACGAATAAAATGTTTTTTGTTCTTTCAGGGTATTTTGTCACAATGTCGAGGATTTTTTTGAAGGATAAGGATATTGAAGGATTTTTAGAAGAAACGTTTGATATTCCGGATGATAGTAACTCGGAAGACGACTTAGAATCGGAAGGAGAACCAGAGTTGAATTTAGAAACTTTGCAAAATCTTTTAGAAGATGATTCCCAAAGCCAAGAAAATCAAAATATGCCTGATACGAGTTCGAATGTCTCTATTGAGAGTTTTCATAATTCACAGAGAGATGAATCTGAAGCTGAGATTAGTATACTTGAAGAGTTAGAAGAAGATTCAGATGAATCTGAACCAGAAGAAGATGGAAATTGGTGTAAAAGTTTATGGATCAGTCGACCGGAACCAGAAGAATTTGACCGTGTCAAAACAGTGCCTGTGTATTTATTGAACAGCAGAGCTCGTCCTTTGGCACACTTTGAAAAATTTTTCAATGAAAACGTGTATGATCTTATTGTTGCACAGACAAATCTCTACGCTGAACAAAAGAAATTACTGCATTGGGAGCCGGTAACTAAACCCGAAATTAAAGCATTTCTTGGCATTTTGATTATCATGGGGTATATTATTTTACCTCACATAGATTTATATTGGTCTCGTGATCCAGGGTTTAGAATCGATGAAGTGGCCAATGTCATGCCAATAAAACGATTCAAAAAAATACTGCAAGCGCTACATCTTAACGACAATTCCCTAGAACCTAAAAAAGGAACCCCGGGCCATGATAAACTGTACAAGTTGCGTCCACTAATTACCATGCTCAATAATTCATTTCTAGAAAACGCGAAGAATTCTTCGTCGCAAAGTATTGACGAAAGTATGGTAAAATTCAAAGGGAGATCTTCTTTGAAACAATACATGCCACTCAAACCAATAAAACGTGGTTACAAAGTTTGGTGCCGTAATGATAGTCAAACCGGATATTTATACGAGTTTGAGATATACACGGGCAAGACAGCAGAGGGGGTAGAAAAAGGCTTAGGCGCTGACGTGGTAAAAAGATTGACAAGCAAACTAATGCAAGAAGAATTTATCAAACATGTCGCATTTGATAATTATTTTTCAGACACTTCTCTGCTCCAGTATTTACATGAAAACGGTTTATTTTGTACCGCAACAGTCCGGCGAAACAGAGTTGAATTGCCTGCAATAATAAAAGAAAAGAAGAAGTTGAAATTACAGAAAGGCCAATTCAAATGGAGAACTAATAAGGACGTTGCTTTCTTAGTTTGGCAGGACACAAAAGAAGTGTTAGTATTGAGCACAGCATTTCACCCTAAAATAGGAACGACTGCAGTTAGCAGAACTCAAAAAGATAGCACCACTTTATCAGTCAAATGTCCAAGAGCAATAAAAGAATATACTCAGAGAATGGGTGGTGTAGACCGATTCGATCGAATGAAAGCCTCATACTCTGTCGGTAGAAGGAGCAAACGCTGGTGGCTCCGGATTTTTTACTTTTTGTTAGATGCAGCTATCACAAATGCTTTCGTGCTTTACTCTGTTTCAATTTCTTCGAGGGCAAGAAAACAAGTAACTAATCTGGAGTTCCGAGTGGCACTGGCGCGAGGGCTCATTGGAGCGCACAGTAGAAAAAGGCGAAGATTTCTTCCAAATTACGTCACTAAGAAAACTAGAGTACTGGGCTCTGAAAATTATCAAAAGGCTATCAATAAAATGGCACCTGAAATAAGATTTCAAAATGATGGTCTGCATATGCCTTTAGCCATTGATTCATATAAAGGCTGTAAATACTGCAGCACAAAGGAGCACGATAAACGAAGTAAAATTATCTGCGAAAAATGCACAGTTCCATTATGTATTGTCCCTTGTTTCCGTCAATATCATGTTAATAATTAATGAAATAGTTTTTTATTTTCCTTCCACAGTTTTACAATATAACTTTAATAATTTAATATACAAGAATTTATTACAATTGGGAGAGACAGGAATCTAAGAATTTTTCCACTGTGTCTAGTTTTCACTACAGTGACGGGCAGGGGGAATATATTTACCACCAATTTTCCACAATTTTCCGATAACTTTTCCTAATTTTCGTGTAAAGTTATGATATAGTAGTTATATAAAAGATGCCAAATTTAATATAAATATTTATTTTACTGTCCTGACATCCTTCTGCCTTATAAAGGGTTAAAACGTTAATAATTTTTATTTTATTATGTATTATAAAAGTAAATTTACAGCCTATATAATACGTTTTGGGCACATCCCTCCATATTTCTGTGGGAGTTTTATGTATATATAATAAAAAGTATATATAAGTTTTATCTTATTATGTCATTTCCTGCCATATATAAGGTAATAAATTTGATCATGCAATTGTTTATATTAAAAAAATGACACGAATCGACTTTACTAACTTACAAAATACAATAACAAATAAAATATAAACAGTTTAATTTATTTTATTCTAAGAAGAATAATGTTATGTTTATGTAGAATTGAGTGGGCGATGTAGGTCAATATAGGCGATACACGGGGAGGAAAAGGGAAACTTGGCAGGGGTGCAGTGGAGGCGGCTGGGGGTCCGCGGGGCATCTCAATGAACGGGACTCCGCATCTGATCTGCAACATTACGTAACTGGTCCACGCTTTCGTCCCCCTGCCCACACTCTCGTTTTTGTTGAACGTTTATATTAGTGCGGTGTTTTTGTTGTCTTATGTCGACACGAAAGGCCATATAAGGATCTACGTTGATTTCTCGGACAGCTTGTAGAATAGGACGTTTTTTATTTCAACAAAGTACATACAGTTTTCATTATAATATAATGTCTTCGTGCCAATAAACTTCAATGCTTTGTCTTGGCACCACACAGTTAGCTCTTATATATTTTATACTTAATCTACATTATAAACCGTTATGTTAAAATTATGTAACTTTAACACTTAAGAGCGACCTTTGGGATACATCATCTACCATATCGCTGCAACTGTAGACACTCACCTATATGATAAAGCAATATATTAGAATCCTAATATAAACTGCAATTCTGAATATTAAGATAACCTGGAAACGTAAAAAAACTGGTACTAGTTTCTATTATAGTTTGTTTATTTTCAAAGACACCAGAATAATTATAACAGGCCCTTCTAATTGATTAAAACTACTTTTACGGATTTTATCGCGTTTAATTTATTTGATTTTTAACTCCCGACGTTGCGCGTATAGCTGATGTGAAGCATCAACGTTCTGGGAAGTCTGCAGTTTGTGGTCGTATCCTACACGGTCGCCATCGTTACATCGGATTTGATAGACCACAAATCCTCGCGAAATAACATCGATTCCTACCAAGGATGATACGTGAGGCTATTGAAATTAAAAAAAAAACGTCCTAATTTCAATAGAGAAGGAGGCTGGGTACTACCAGCTGCTTGGAACCCTATAATTAATAACATTAAAACTAAACCCAACCGGAGATCTTTTTTACTGGAAACGAGGTATTTCATCTTATTCCTCTCGGGAGACAGCGCATTTGCATTTTAATTCGTAATGGAGGATAGATGTAGATGTCTATTGGCCGCAGCAACCACTTACCATCAAGTGGACTGTGTGCCCGTTTGTTAGCCTATCCTATAAAAAAAGAAAAAAAAAGAATACCTATCTATACTAAACGTAATCGTTTTCGTCTCGTGAGTGTCGGAGGAGGAGAGTATAGGAAAAGACATATAATTTCTTTCGGATTTCTAGCTGGTAGCACTCTATTTCTGCTTATCGTCTGGCAAACTACTACTCTCTTATCTATTTCTACCACCATATAACAGTGCTTGTACTGCTAATTGCTGTGTTCTGTTCTGAACGGTATAGAGAGCCAGTTTATTTACACGCTGTGGGGTATTCCATCTTAGTCCTCAGAGGTGACAACATATCTGTAGCTTTCTTTGATTGAAATTGGCTGCAGGTGATGCCTGCCACTCTTCATCAGGTGGACTGCAAGGTTGTCGTCACCTTAGTTTTGTGAAAAATATATAGATGTAGGTAATACAATAAAGGTGCAACCATCTCATATACATATACATAACAGATGTAATTAAATCGGCAAGGAATACATCTGATACTGCGTCCGTCAAAGCCTGCCAACTGGCAAGCTTGACGGTGATGGCAATTCTTGACGTGAAAGAGAGCCATGTCCAACAGTGGATTGCTGAAAATTGAAAGAAGATGGTGTAGTTGTGTGCTATTGGTAGATGGGATTTGAAACGATTGCCACACGTGTCTGATGGAAAGTTTCGAGTATTAACCAGAATATCATGGTTTAGTAACTACGAGCACTTAACCCTAAAGTGCTCGTAGTTTAGTAATAAACAAAAAATATAGGGGAACGAGATGAACAGATAATAAAATTCATTGACGTATATAATCAATTTTATCGACTATATCATCAACGAGTCTAATATTAATAACGGCCCGTAGCGGCGATCGTCGATCACAGTATTTTAAGCCAAATGTTTTCGTAGATAAGAATGAATATTCGTTATTGTTCGTTCTCATAGTGCGAATTCCGTTTCCGTTATTCACCGAATTCGATAACAGTTATGCCGCATTCGTATATGATGTGAATAGGGTTACCACCTTTTCGTATTACCATTTCTAGTTTTTTCCTCAACTTTAGATTAAACGTTAAAAAAAGTAAGAAACCCACTTTCGAGTTTTTACATAATTTGATAGCTTCTGAAGTTATAATATATATAGAAATATATCAAATACTATATCATGCTATACCATACTACATATATCAGAGTATTAAAGCCTCGAGTGAACTAAGCAGTACCACAACCTCAAAGGTATTTACAATTATAACACGTGGCAGAGCCTCGCTGGCTATATTATGATTGTAGCACGAATGGATCGACTCGACCGGGGAAGGACCACGCTCTTAGAATATCAGCCGGAGACCCTTTTTACTGGAAACGAGGCATTCCATCTCAGTCCTCAGGGATGTCAACGCATCTGCATTCTGATTCTTAATTGAAGATAAATGTTGATGTCTATGGTGCACAGCACCCACTTACATGTGTATTGTGTGCTCGTTTGTTACCTATATGGTAAAAAAAAAAACTAAAATGCCTCCTAAAGGGTTACCTTAAAAATTAATTTTCATTTTTCCAGATTTAGGGGTTTAATTTGTTCTTCAAATTTAAATTTGACCGCCCTTGCAGTAATGCAGTTTCTGTAATTTATATTGATGGGAGATATTGCATTTTGAGGTAATGTGTGTGTAAACCAAAAGTAAAACAAGTGTGTCTATTCTATACAAGTATAGTCTATGTACTCGTATTAAAAAAATATACAAAAAACTTATCGAATTCAATAGCTCCTCGTTTTTTGAAGTCTGCTTTTAAAATGCTACTTATTTTGCTTAGTATTCTCGTGGATTATTATGACGAATATATTATATTTTCCATAATTAATGGAATCATACTTTTTATTGTTTTTATTAGGATAAAAAAATTGCACATCAATCTAAGTCACGACAATTAATTTATACTAGGAGTAATTAGCGTGTAACCTACACCAATTCACACAAAGTAATATCATATACCTTATGATTAATACAATTGCGCATTTTATGACAGTGTAGGAAATTTCACTGTATAATTAATAATTATATATAATTATAAATCATATATAATTATAAATCATTATAGTCAATCAAAAACTTAGTTATCATTCTTTTCAACTTTATAGACGACTGAGCAAAAATTTTACATTCTGTAAAGTGTGTGTTATAATTTTGTCTAAGACGTGGTGAAAGGGTGCCGCGCTCCATCGTTTGTTTTACATCATGAGGCTTTCGCACTACGTGCCGAATTATATTTGTCTGTACAATATAATGTATATGATTAGTAATATAACGACAGTAAAATCTCTTATTGAACATCCCAAGCATCATTGCCATAATACGCGTACGTCTGGATTCCAAACTTAGTAGTTTCCTCTGTTTTAATAATTCTTTGTATAGAATTCTGGAATAATAACACTTATAATGCATATGCGTAAAAATTTCTTTTAAACCATTGCCAATTTATAATTAATTTTTTGTAGGAGGTATTTCAGATTGGTACAGCGTATTCTAATTATGAACGTGTGAGTGTTTTGTATAGAATTATGAAAGTAGATGATCGTTTAAATTTTTATACTGTTGAAAGACTACTGATTATGTGATCGATATGGTAATCTAAATGTAATTCTTCGAATCCAGCATTAAACCAAGGTCTCGGACTATGTTAACTTTTTGTAAGGGTATACGATAATTGATACAATAATTAAGTTAAAAAGGTTTTTTGTTCTTTGTAAAAGACAACACTTGGGCAGACGTAGTATAAAGCTTGTTAGCGGAAGTCTGGTTAAGATCTTCTTGAAGAAGTTAGCAGTCATGAATGTTTTGGCATTGTTTATACATTTTAATATCATCAGCGTACATTAAATAATGGTCAAACAGACTTTGACGTCATTTATGAATAAAATAATGAGAAGGGGCCTAAAATCGATCCTTGAGGTATACCTTCTGAGTTCTGTTAAATATATAAGATGTAAATCAACGCAATAAATTACCGTGAATCTGTCTGCCAATATTTTTCCTCTTTCTTTGATATAAATACATAAAAGATTTATTCTTAATTATAATCCGTAAATATTTTTGCCCCTGCCCAGAATTTGTCATGTTTAACCGCACGCCCCCGCAGCTTCGTAACGGCAGACGGGCAAATTTATGATCCGCTACACCAAAGGTTTTTTTTCAATACAAATCAACCGTGTAACTGATGCGGACATTTTTTATTTAGCCAGCTCTAGACCATGCCCTGGTATTCTGTCAGAAGGTGATCCATTCCCGGTCAAG